CCACAAAAAGCAGACAGATGCAATATTCTTGGGGACAATACCCTGTCCACTTTGTAGTGGTTAGGAAGCACGTGAGGATTAATCTGGAGCAACCCTGCAAGGCACTGTTGGCAACCAGCACAGGAGACAACGGATTTGCTGCACTCACCTTTCAAAGATGCATCAGACAACGATCAAGAGCAGGGCACTGGGGATGCAGAGCAAGAGGCCTGAGGCTGTGGGTAGTGTATGTCTGCAGATTCCTTCATGTCTTCCCAGGTAGCTCCAGGTGGCAGCCAGTATTCCTGATGCCGGAACCACTCTGACAGTCCCATCCTGATCAAGATGGTGGGCACAGAGAGCAAGGCTCCAGGATTCAGCAAGCAGGTAGCAGCAAGGCATAAAACTCGCTGCTAAATCAGGATTCCCAGCTCAATAGCTCGTCATTCACGCTCCCCACCTCTCACTCAATCCCATGAGTATGACTTCAGACTAGTTGAAATAGCTTCACTTGTTCTGACCTGCTCATGAGCCTGGAGGTGGGGTAAGATGCCCTAGTACAAGAAAGTAATTCAGTGGGTGTCAAGGAGGTGGCTAACTTCAGTTGCACTCTGTTGCACAGATGACTGAAGTCCCTGCCTGATGACAGTAACAGCAGGGGCTTCTCTCTTGCCCTCTCTATCAGCCTTTTCCTTCTCAGGCTGCAAAGCCCTCACCTATTAATCAGCTCCAACACCTGGCAGAGGGTGTGGATGGATGTCCCAGGTAAGACTAGCCACAGCCATGACGATCTTCTGGTACCCTCAGGGCCCCAACAGTCTCAGTTTTGGTTCCTCCATCCTGCCCAGCAACATGCCATACATTCCGAGCACGAAGGTGATATACTGCTCCCCAAAACTATGCTGAAGTGCTAACACTCAGCCTAGCACTTTGGGAGACTTTCTCATGTGTACCACATTGCTCTCCTCCATACTCAGTTTCAGTTGTGTTTTATCACTCAGTTCCATAAACCCTTCTGCAACTGCTTGCAGTCAGTCTGCATCATCATCATGAGTGACTTTCATTATCAGCCAATGTTGCCATCTGCTTTTCCCTCCCCCTTTTTGGGGCACCTGCAACAATACATAGCTGCAAAGAAATCCCTGTGGGTTGTGTATTTCTTTCAGTCTGTAGTGAGGGACCTTTCTGAATGCCTTTGCAAAACTGAGTAGGCAGCAGGTTCTCTCCTCGCATGTGCTCACTGACTTTGGGATAACGCAGCAGAGTGAGACATAATTTCCTCATACAAAACTCATGGGGACTCTGACCTATAATATTATGTTCCTGTTGTATAATATATGTTTCCCCAAATTCCATCATTAATTACACTTTCTACTGGTCTGACCAGTCTGGATGTCAGACTACAAATGGCTGTAGCTCCTCACATTCCTACTTGGAACCGTCTTAAATTTTTCTGATAACAAGACCACTTGAAACAAAAAATGGCATTCCACACTTTGTAGTTTAGCTCCTAGTATAAGTTTCCTCTTGACACTTGAGTGAATGTTTGCTATGTAAGCAAATGTTTGCTATGTAAGGTCTTCCCACCCATCACCTTGAGATGGATCCTCTTGGGATGCAGCCTCAGCAAGATGTCGCGTATTGGACCCTCTCTGAGCCTCTAAACAGGGAAGTCACATGCAGGCAGCTCACTGAATTTTTTGGCTCTAGCCTGATCTTGTCTCTGTTCATGCTATGAGCCTTGACTATGACTCCTGCAGCCTTTCCAGTATTTCAGAGATTGGTATTGCCTTTCAAGTTGTTTCTCAAGATACTTCTTGGCCTGCTTTATCACATGTTCACATTAATCTGGCAAAGTTACAGGTCCTTTCCGCTCTCCTTGTTCAGACATGACTTTAGCTTTTTGAACAATGCCTTGCTGTTTCTTAGGGACGCCCTTCCCTGCAGGCACTGTGTCTGTGGTACCTGCGCAAATGAGGAAAGCAGTGTCTTTCAAAGCGTAGCCATCCAAGTCAAGGTTCCCTTGGGCATACAGGACTAAATGAAAAAATGTGGTGGATGCACATCTCTGATGTTTCCCAAGTGTGTGCAGGGGAAAGGGAACAACTCTGCCAAACTGCTCTTAAAACAAGATCCAAAACAGCACTAGGTGCCCATGTCTACTGGAGTCAGCAGATTCATGTCAGCTGTCATTTTGGGCTAGGACGCTAGATGCTATCTGGGGCCATGCTTTGCCAGTCTTTGACTCACTTGCCACACAGCAGCCTGAAGGCATCAATAAATGTTCTTTTTCTCATAGATAACCTGGAGCTGGATGCCTCATCTCCCACACTTGCTTGATAACATTATACGATGCACGCGTTGTGCGATGCACGCCTTCACTGTGCACACAGGGTGCAATAGATTCCAATTCTGCTGCGGTGCCCAGTGCTCCATCTGCTCTGCTGGGTTTTTCAGCAGAGAAGTGACAGTCTTGCTGCAGGTTTTCAACAACAGCTTCTCTGTGCTGGGGGCTGTGACGCCCCTAGTGTGGAGGGGGTAGATACACTAAATTCATAAATACTATCAAAGCATTCAGAAGCTTCCCAACACTGGAGCAGATGTAAAAAGAGAAGGTGGAGCAATGTGGGGAGCAAGCTGATTACACACAGAGCTTCTCTAAGCCTTAGCAAGTTGATGGCAAGAAAATACATTTGGCAATCATCTGCCCCAGTGACTCAACACTGTCATGCTCAGTTCCTCAGCTAAAAGCAGCACTCAGTAGTTGTTAATCAAGTCCAACAGCTCCCCTGAATCCTTGATGCATCCTTTCACAAGAACGAGATTTGCCTCCTAATGAGCTTATCTCAGTCTTCAGGGGGACAGCAAAGCCCTGAGGATAAAATTCAGCAGGCATCAACATACATCTGCACTGGCTCCACAGGGCATAGTGCAGTCTCTGGGAAGCATTCTGCTTCTCAGGTAAGAGGTGTTGTGATTTTATAACACAGATCTTTTCTGGCCTTCTAAAACATCACGAGAAAGAAGAATAGGCACTATTTTTTCTCATCCTATCCTTCCAAGTCCAAAGCATCTCCCCAGTGCTGCAATCTTGGACTTGGCACTGCCCTGGCAGTAACAAGTAACCTGGCCCACTTAGGGGCATCCCAAAGCGTTCCTTGTTCAAGGACCAAACACAGCTTTACCCAGCAGGAGACAAATCAGGCAGCTGCACTTCTCTACTGGCATGGCCCAATATGGATGCGTGTCCTGGGTATGCAACTTTCTCTCCACGTGTGCTGCATGTGTATCAACCTTGGCAACGGCACCCAGATGTGTCTCCCTCATCACACATTCACCTGTAAGGTGCAACTAGCCAGGTTACCTCCTGCTAGTTAAAGAAGTAAAAAAGAGCCCAGACAATCAAACCTTTCAAAAGTAATTTATAAAGAATGTTTACATTCAGTAGTACAAAATGACATATAACCTCCTGAACACATCACCTGCAGAGGAGCAGCAAGATTGCAGACTCAGATTAAAGAAACATGACAGTATACAGAACATGTACTTTGAACTTCAAAAATTGGCTCAAGGTTTCAGAGACAAACTGTCTTCAGCAAATGCGAATTTAAATGACAATGCAGGAACAGATGCTCTCCTCCCTGAGCATGTTACTGCCCTGGAATCACTTGTGCTGGAACCACTTTTTCCCCCCAAAATGATCCAATGTATTTTGACTCAAACCCAAGATGAGCACATACCAGCTCAGATCAAAGTGCTCTCAGTCACATCGCAGGTGAACTGAGTGCATTGCTGAAAACCCTCGTCCTTCTATCCTGTCACTTGCCTTTTAAACATGTGCACTACCTCCTCAAAGGCATTTCCTTGGTCCATGTCCTCCCCCAGTTAGTACTGGCCCTTACTGGGCACATACAGGGAAGTGTCTGCATGGCCTTTGCAGTCTAAGTCCCTGCACTCACTACAGTGAATCCGTTAATACTTTGGTTTTATAGATTAATTGATCTATAAAAAGAAATTCATGTCATACTAATTTAACTCTTTTAAGGGATTACAGAATCCAAAGTCTAAGCTACAAAGGATAAAAGATAAAGAACATCTAAACAAACTGAATCAGAACTGCATCATGACTTCATGGACTACTGCTTTAAACTTACTATTCTTGATACATCTAGGCAAAGGCCCTAGAGTTAGAAGT